ATGCAAGAAAGCATTTTACATTCCACACATTTTCGATTTCTGATTGTTGCATTTTCTCATCTTTCATTTATTCTACTGCCATTTGACGTAAGAAACTGGCGTAAAAAGTTCGTGAGTTTCATTGCAACTCGCGCTTTGGAGAGTAGCGTACCTTCATGTCACGCTGCACAATCTGGTATGTGGTTGGAATGAAGGAACTGGGGTAATGGAATGCCCAGAGGTGCGAAAATAATTTAAAATGTAAACAATGTGAGACCGAGGGTTTGCAGATGAATATTGCAAAGGTATAGTGAATGAAATATATGTAAATAACTGAAATGTAAACTAAAAGCAATGTGAAATGAAATTAAGAAAAATGTATTAAAATAGTAAACAAAAAATGTATTCAATTTAGAGATAAAAATAACTTAATGACAACTTAATTAGCCAGAATTGATATATTGTATTTGCCCTTATTGGATATATTAGCAATATAAAAATAATGATTCCATATATCATTGTGAGTGGAAATTTTACTAAATTGCTTATAAGCTTTTTAAATATCTTTATTGAGATAATTAACAATATAAGTTCGTAAATAGGTAAATTCAACAAATGGAAAATTAAACTAAATATATTTCCCTGAATTTAGTCCCCTTAATTTTTTCAATTAGCAAAATAAAATTAATTAAATGCAAGCTTTGTGAGTTGAAATTTAACTTAATTTCTTAAGGGCTTTGTTAGTAGTTCATTAATTGAGTCAATTACCAATACAGAAATAAATAAATTTTAATTAATTAAATTTAAATTATTTTAGTGCATTAATTAAGTCACTTACTAATACAAATTAGCTCAATAAAACTTATATATAATTATATGTATAACTTAATATAATTTAATTATTATATTATATATACATATATAGTGCCGTTTATTGTAGTTATTTGACATTATAACAATAAATATAAAATTAAATTAATGAACTCTTAAGTAGTTAAAATAAATTTAGATGCCTTAATTGAGCTAATTAATTAAATAGACACTTCTCGAATTGTAGTTTTTCTTATTGATTGCAGGCTTTGTAGAAAGCTTAATAATTGCTTATATTAGCAATATAAAATCGAGTTTATTTAAATAAACTAAATGAAAATTAGTTAAAATTAATAATTCCTTTAATTAAGTCAATTAGCAATAAGAATGAGCTTAACAAAAATTAGTTGCTCTTAATTTGGTTTATTAATAGTGTAAAAGCTAATACGGAAATAATGTAATGAAAAATAATTTACTCAGAATTTATTTAAATTTCATCAATTTAGTCAATTAAAAACATAAAATAAAAATGTATTAAAAATCAACTAAGCCTTATTACTCCTTATTTACGTTCCCCATAATTTAGTCAATTAACAATATAAAACTAAGTTTACGAACACCTAATAAGCTTAGTTTTATTAAATTGCTACTAGATATTGAAAATGGGTCCTTAATTTAGATAAGCCGCAAAAAGAAATCAAATATAAAACTAACTTGATTAAAATTTATTTAGACAAAGTTAAATTAGTCCCATTTAAGTTTGTTAAATGGATATGTAAAACAAAAATTAATTTACGTAACCCCAATAAATACTTATTTAAACTAAATTATTTTAACTCCAAATAATTCCAAGGCCTTCAAAACTTTTCACTAAATTAGTCAACTAGCAATATAAAAACTTAATTAAATAGAAGTAAGTGTTACCTTTAATTAAGTCAATTAGCAATACATTATAAATATATACAAGTAGACGTAATAACAACTTAATTACTTGTGATTAGTCACTTAGCAATACATTTATATATAATATACTAACTGCTGAGTTAATCTGGAACCAATATTAAACATAATGAAATAAAACAAAAGCTGATTAGAAAAAAGGCACCATGGATCGAACGTATGGCCCTGAGTAGTAAATAGTATCGAGCACGCGAAATCACGTAACCTCGTCTGACGGCGACATTTAGTTTTTGACAGACTTTTTATCTCTGTTTCCTTTGAACTATCGATGTTTGAAATTGCCATCCACTTGACAAACCGCTCACATATCCCTTAACTTAACTGAACGTTACTTTGTGTCATCAATTTTGTCGCTATTCTTACAAAGCTTACGAAGTTTTCACCATAAAATTGGACATTTTTATGGCCAAAGTTTCAGACATTGTTACTTGTTACTCTTTTTTTCACCTCCTTTTTATATTTTGCTTCGTTTTTCTTTTGCCAACGCTTCTTATTTATATATCAAATTCAACAGTTGCAATTTGCAAGTGTACGTTGTTATTTTTGTAAAGTTCGATATTAGCCTCAAGTATACACAAGTAAAACAAGTAAGGAAGTTTTAAGTTCGGGTCTAACCGAAAATTGAATACTCTCGCAACTTGCAAGGATCAAAGCCCATTCATTTAGTGCTTGATTTATCGGGCTTTTAGTAGTTTTTAACAGTAACGCTATATGGGGAGTGGGCGGGGTTGTCACCCGATTTTACCCATTTTCACACTGCGTTTTACAATTACTATTTTTACTCAAGTTACGGCTTGCACAAACGGACGGACAGACAGTCAGCCGGATTTCAACTCGTCTCTTCATCCTGCTCATTTATATATGTATAACCCTATATCTAACTCGGTTAGTTTTAGGTGATACAAACAAACGTTAGGTAAACAAAACTACTATACTCTGTAGCAACAGGTTGCGACAGTATAAAAAGGAAGAAAAGAAAGATATGGGAAAATCTCGAGGTAACTTCAAAGTATCTGCATTGTTCAAACTTTTATGAATAGCATTGCAGATAAACACCAAAACAAATGAGGAAGCTGCAAAAGTGGTTGGCAGAAAGACGGCGGTGCGAAGACAGTCGCAAGTGGTCGTTGGAGGAAATTGAAAACGAATGACAGAAGTGAGTTGTCGCTTGGTATCAGTGCCAGCGCTAAGAAATCCACATTTTTATCGTTTGCGAGTATAACAGGTACTTTACCACAAGCTCAGCAAGTTTGCATAGCTCAGTAAGTTTGCATAGCTCAGTAAGTTAAGATGTGACTTTGCATTTGCTACAAATTAAGCATAGACAATAAGCTTCTCGAAGTATAGGGTGGTGCTAATATAATTATCTTAGGAACGTTGGGTAAAAGAAAGGAATTTGTCGAGAGAACAAAGGGACTTAAGTCACGAGGGTAACTAGGACTGAGGTCTCAGCATCTATGAACTCTGTTCATAATTATCAAAAATTGGTGAAAGCAAGGAATATGTTAAGAAACTTGATCTTAAATGGATTTGAAAGAATTTGGTAATCTGGACTGGAATCTAAGCTTCTGTGAACTCAGTTAAAACCCTGTGTTTCAACAGATCATTTGCTTTTTTTATGGAGGTGCCATTATTCAGGATCTAGGGCGATCTCAGTGCCGATCTATTCTGAGTTCAGACAGTGGTAAACCTTCGAGCTAATATTCAAAATAAAAGGCTATTTCTCATAAAAAGCCATTAGCTTTACGAAGGCAATTTAAAAACCTTCGGAGTTCCTTCATTGCCTAAACCTAAGTATGAGGTAAGGTATTGTGAATTATAAGAAGGAAGAAGAGGGTGATTATGATCATGTCGAGACGGGAACTGGAAAGGAAGTTTCAGGAAACGAGACTCTTATATGCGAATTATCTCAAATATATTATCTCAAAACCGATTGAAATCGGTAAAAAATCGAATAAAAGATCGTAGTAAATAGTATGTGGCATATACCTATATATTTTTTATGCGTTTCTTTGCCAGAGTATCTGCAAATGAAATTACTATCAAGGTTTGAAAAATTATATCGCACTAAAAATCCCTCCATCATGAATTTTTTCAAGCCTTTCTTCAAAGTAATGCACCCTATATTATCTTACATATACATAAATGTTGTCGACTAATACGATTATCTTGGCTGCCAAGAGCGACCACTTATAAAGTTAAGCTCTAAAAGAGCGGCAATGAAGACTGATTGGACTTTAAATACAACAACAATTTTCTTGTTATAAATATAATATTATACTTCTATAAAATATGACAAATGAGAAAGTGTTGAAAAGCGTTTGCTGAAGCATAAGAAAATGCAAGACAAGCATGAAGTGAAGTGTAGTATGAAAAATAATCCTCTATGAATAGGAAGAAGCAAATACTAAATAAAAGTAGATGTGAAAATATACAAATAACAGAAAGAAATATGGTTGCGAAAAAGTTGTTTTTGTTTAAAGAAAGATAACAAATAATCAAAAAGGAGTAGAAAAACAATGTTAATAGAAAAATCAATAGAAAGGAGTAGAATAATTTCTTATTAAATTAATATATAAATATAAAAATATCAGAATTTTTAAGACAAATATTAATATCTCAAGTATAATGTGCAACATAGTTAAAATGTAGTAGAAAAAGGTATAAAACGGAATAAAATTTTAGAATGGAAGGAAAAAGAAATAGCTGAAGAAAACTGTTGTCGTTGTAAAATATAGTTTTTTGGAGTGAAGGTTTTGTGGGTCTGGATACAGTGGACTTACTCTCAAGATAAAGGTCATATACGGTAAAAAAATTTCTTTTCAAGGTATTTTAGTGAATGGTAGTATAAATTAGTAGTATAAATAGTATTAGTTTAAATAAATGGTAGTAGATAAAATTCAAATTAATAATTATTTTTCACAACTATAATATTTAAAATCATTCTCAACGGCTATCAAAATCAACAATAAAACGAAGAATTTCTTTCGACATCTTACAATTTGCTGCGACATCAAGCACCACCGTCTTGCAATGAAATTTTAACTAAATATTGTCGCAAACCGCTTTCCTGCTTAGCTTGCACAAGTGAAGCTTCAAACTTCTCAAATACAGCAAATGAGCAGGAAATGCTGACGGCAAAAATTAGCTCAAAAGTTGCTTACAAATTCATTACGCATTCGCACACACAACAACAACACACGAATATATATATTTTGCTTACAGTGCAACTTGCTAGCTTAAGTACTCACCCGCACTTTCCGCACCGTCTTGCGGCTGTCGTTCTTGATGTTCACCGTCACGCAGACATCCTCGCCATGCGTATACCAGGCCTTATCGAGGCTCGCCCGCAAGCCGACACGTCCGTCCTGCAAGAGGAACGGCTTGTCCACCGCACCCTGTGGTCCACCGCCGCCGCCGCTAAGCGCACACGCTGCATTACCGCCAATCACACCGCCCACCGTGCAGCCGCCACCCGGCGAAGCGGTGAGAGGAGCGCCGCTAATGCCGCCAACGCCGACAGCGCCAATGCCGCCGGCAATAGCGGTGCAATCGTACTATGGCGGTTGAAGGCGTGAGTGCCGGGGTTGTTGTTGTGGGAGATGGCAAGTAGGTGTTTGTAACGCGCAGCATTGTGTTGTTGTAGGGGGTTGTGAATTTTCATTGTATAATTTTGTTGTTGCCGTCAAGGAACGGGAGCGTGTGTGTGGTGGGGAAGAGAAAGGCAAAACGGAAACGCATATTCGATTAGTTGCTAAATATAAGTATGCCTAACTTACAGTTTATTCATTTCTTAACTTTCATTTTCCAATAACACACAACCTGCACAGTCCACACTCCCTTCCTCTGACTCTATACTCCCACCGCTCTCTACGTGCTATCCGCAGTCCACGGTCCACTGTTATCAACCAACAATTCTCGGTATGTGCTGTCGACAGACTAATACATGAGTGTTGGCTTAGTCTGCTGGTTTACTTTTCACTTTTTTATTGGCCGTCATTCTACCGTCAGCAAATATTGACTTAATTCAACTGCGATTGGCATTATTACTATCCTCTAATAATTGTTATGCGCTTTGGATGCTTGCGTTGACCTCTTCGTTGGCTTTTTGTGCTAAGGTCTGCGCTTTTATATTTATTACCGCTTACATATGTAATCACTTATTAGTGACACATGCGAGAAATACTACAAGTAATACACATTTTTTATTATGCTATCAAAAATTTAGAGGCTAGATTTTTAAGTATGCCACAGGGTGACCCAAACAGAACTGAATTTTAATGAAAAGAGAAACTGAAGACGACATGTTTTGCGAAGAATCATCGTTACTAAAGAATACAGAAACTTTTGATTTATTTCATAAAATCCACCTGGAAGGATCTTCATTTTCTCCTATTGTCCTACAAACTTTTAAACTTTTCCGAAAAGAATATTCACCAGTACTTGCTTAAAGAGAGATAAGTAGTAAGTATTATGCTGATTGATAGGATTGAATGAATAACTGTTGCTCGCGGGCCTAGGCAAAATTTCGCGTGTGTGTGTGTTTGGAACTACATTTTGGCAAGTTCGAGCTCTGGTAGCTTACAAATAGGTCAAAAGTTTGTGAATTTCTTTCGCGAAAAGTATCTAATAAGCTTTTCACGAAAGAAAAATCTCGTCCACACTCCAGATAAGAAATTGGCTCTACAGTTTTGTCTACTTTATAGACCAACTACTACTTATGTAGAAAACTAACCATTAAGGGATATTTTAAAGTAAAATTATGGGTGAGATCTTAATTCACGTATCGGACATTATAACCTTGACTCAGTTATATGTAATATATAGGGATCCGATATCGGGTAGTAATGTTGAGAGAACTACTGGCTTGATGCAATGATATATTTGTATTTTGAAATAAGCGGTATGAACATCGGCTTTTTACCTTTCAGTGATAAATATCAATAAAAATATTAGAGAATATATTCCTTTTTTTAAACTGGACGCGACAAGTTGACTTCTTTAGTATGCTGCGGATATCTAGCTATAAAAGCTAAATTTATACAACTAATTTCAGTCTTTCCCTTCTGAATTTGTGGACTTGATCTATTGATAAATTTTTATGACTCAATTTAATTATTATTTTTATTGCCAACTTCAAATTTATGACCTTTGGTGCACTTCAATTAAATTATGTACTCACATCTAACAAATTTCGTGAATTTTAATTATACCATGCCAAACATTTTATTGGTTGGTTGAACTCTAAAAAGTACATTAAGATAAATTGGCAAGCGGGTGAATGAATGACCTCATAAATATTCAATGTTAATGTCGATTGCCAAGAACAGTATGGTTAACTTGGAAAATTTCAAAATTGTATCCGAAATTTTTGTTGAGAATCAGTCTCGCTGGTAAAGTGACTTTATAATAAATACCGTTAGCAAAAATATAGATGACTGAATTATTTCTTGGTAATCCGAGAATCGAAGCGAGTGCTCTACTTTATTTGGTATTAGTTAAATAGTATTTATTTGTCAAGATTTTATAGGAGAGCTTCTTGAATTGAAATCTGAAAACTGGCTTTTATTTTACATTTATTAAGATGTATTTGAAAGATTTCGGAAAATTTGCATAATGCATTTTGAAAGCCCTGAGCTCTTTTGAACGTACTCAACTATGTACAAATCGCACAAAAGAGGAAGATATTCATCTATCGATTAAAGCTTGAAAAATGTAACCAAAATATGGTGGGATTGAAATTGTCGATTTTTGTCGTTATTCGGAAAGATACGTCATCTTTAAGTTCTTCTGAAATAGTTTGACACTTGAAGAACACTTTATTTATTGGACGGTTAACTGAAGTTTGAGCGGAAATTCGACCTAAGAAGTATTATATTACCATTTTTAATACTTTGCCATGCTGGCTGGCAGCGGCAGCGCTGATAGTAATACGAGCTTTGAAGGTGTTACTCACTGCCGGCTCTGCTGTTGCTGCTGGTGAACGGCTACAACACACTACAGAGCCACACCAAGCCGCGTGTCGGAGCGGTGATCTGCCTTGCTGCGCCTCTCGCCGAAGTCTTTCGTTTTAGCGGTCGCTTTGGACGGTAAAAGCGAGATTGAGAAGCGTCCCAATGATCCATTCCATAATTACAGTAACCGTTTCAAGAGGTGAGTAAAAATTAAATATTATTGTAGATACAAAGAAGACAGAACCAACGTTACGTTGACCACAAGATCGTGTAGATAACGCATCAAACTACAAGACAATATTAGAAGAAATATTCAATCGGTGCAGGTAATGAAATAACAAACTAAAGAAATGCTGAGTAATGTTGAAAACGGCGACTATAACTATAATTACATCTATACTACGATCTATTGTTATGCCGGTAATTTTGTCACCTTCAAAGATAAGAATGAACCTACAGTTGGCTTACATAGTCTGATGAAACTTCACAACCTGCCAGAAATAGGTGAAGACATTTATCTAGAGGATACTGAGGTATCCAGTACCATTGAATGTGCTTTATTTACTTATTCTTCCAACCGATTAGCGTCTATAAGAGCTGGCGACCGTCAGCGTTAGTTCATCATAATACATTTATTTCCATAAATATTTCAGAACCCCAATTCTTATTAAAACAGCTGGAGGTCATTAAATCCTTTTGAATAGATGATGAGATATTTATCTCGATGAGCTTAGCATCAAAGATAGGTCTGAATATCTAGCATCTCACCTGATCTCGGCTCCGATATTGCAACATTCTGTTCGGATGAGCACAGGCCGTCTCATGCGCCAACAACTTCAGATACACTTGTCATGAGAGACGCATTAGGAAACCAGCTGCCCACCAGACAGCACTTGAGTCATCTACGTTAAATTAGTTCTTAGTAGTGGGTTGTATGCGTTCACCAGCAACAACAGCAGAGCCGGCGGTCGTAGCACCTTCAAAGCTCGTATTACTATCAGCGCTGCCGCTGCCACCCAGCATTGATCACAAGGCCGGTGTTGTATTGCCATTTTGTGCGATGAGTGCACCAGAAGCACTAAGCGTTGCGGGTGGTGAAGTGAGCGCCGCGGTCAATGGCGGTGAGGCGCCTTGATTGTTGATGAGCGCGGCGAAATTCTCCGGACCGTTTGACTGCTGATACACATCAGTGCGATAGCTAACGCGTACGCCCATTTTGACTGAGGCGCGCCGATGGAACTTTTCATCCGTTTTATCAGCTGAAAGCAAAAGAAAGAAAGTTATAAAATATGCGTTCTATTAATAGGTTGAGTGCAGGGGGCTGGACATCCAGCTGACTCCACTCGAAGCATTGTATGTACATGTACTCGTAATGGCTTGTAGTACAAAAAGTGCGAAATTAAGTATGCTGCAGAGTGAGGTATGTGATTCTGCGTGTGTAGTTGGTGTAGTTCTGTGTGTTCAATGTACCGTATAATTGCCGGCAACACAGCAACATGTGCTTACGTTTACGAAATTTGAAGGTTCTTCTCCACCGCATGCAATTTTGTTAATTATCGACTGTTTTGTGCTTTGCGCTTAGTTCAGGGATAAGTCGTGGAAGCGTGATTAGACATTAAAAGAGTACAGCAAAGTTTTGAGCTCGGTTGTAATGGTGTGGGATTACTTAGTATAAGTATAGTGGTTCAGGGTAAATTAGAGTTTGGATCTGGCTATGTGTAGGTTAGGTTGAAGAGACCAGTCTTGCTGTCAATATTTCCAAAATCGAAAAACATACAGTGTTAGATAACGGTACTGTTAAATTTCGATAGATTCCTAAAAACCTCTTTGGGGTAGGAGATTCGATGTTATAAACTTTAACAAGCGAGATCAAGGTCGACTATGTTACATGCAAGGAGCCGTCATATAATCGTTGAGACGATGGCTCTTGTTATTAAATATATAAAATTTTAACTATTAATAACGGTATTCCCAAAATATAATGCAAAATCGCGTCAAACCATAATAGAGGATGGAAGAGAAGAAGATTAAGTATACTTAACTGGTTTTGAGGTTCCAAGGTCAACAATAATCCAATCACAGAAAGCAGTAATTCTAAACATTGATGAAAGAGCTCGTCATTCTTAACATACTTGAGAAAGTTCACTGTTCTTTGGAAGAAGTTAAAAAAAATATATTAGCCGCTTTAAAGGTCAAAGAACGCTGGCTTCAGGCATTTAGCTCCAAAGTCGAGGAAAATCATACTATAAATAATTTTAATTCCAAACGTAGCAGTAAACTTTCATTATTCGATGAGGAACTTTAACGTGCGGCTTCATTTCGAAAGGTTTGAACCAAAGATTGACTAACGTCTTATAGGGATTCTTACGAGAGTAATAAGCTATTAGATTTTAAGGCGTATGATCTAATATGTAATATTTCACTATATACTGGCGCCCGATTAGAGTTTATATTATGTTGGTCTCCATTTCGAATAAGCTTGGTTGAAGGTGAAGTCCCAGCCTCCGATGGCTAGAAACAATTTACTAATGGCCCTAAGCTATCGAACTATATAGAGCAGAACTCTTCTGCAGCTCCGCCAAGTTTCCAACAGAGCTGCAAGGGCCAATTACTATCACTTTTGATCTCGCTTATGAGACAAATTTGGTCGCATACCTTCGAAATAACGATTGGTCCTCAAAACTAACTGGCTTTTTATTCATTTAGGGACTGTTAAAATCTATGCAGTGGGAGTCATAATTTATGTACTACATAGTTATCTCGTCGTGAAAATTCTGAAATATGCTCTCTTATTTTTCGACAACAAATTGTTGACATTGTTAGTTAACAATTTGGGAGAGTTCTTTTAAGATACCAGCTCTATCACTCTATTGTTTCCTAACTCTGCTAGCTCCCAAATTTTTATGTTTGTGATATTAGTAATTGCCGATGTGTCGTTTGTCAATATGTCGGCTGTAAAGTAAACATTAATGAATATTAACAGACACCTGTCAGCTGTAATATATCATTTTATTTTTTTTATTTTGTTTTTAGTTTTAAAAGCATTTATTGATTGAAAGCCTAGTATAATCGGAAAATTGTACGCTTAGAAGTTATTAAAGTTGTATAAAGAAAAACATTATAATTGTGAGTTTAGTTAAGAGTTCTGTCATCTGTTATTTGTAAGCTGTCATGTATCATAATATTGATCGCAAGTACAGTTACTGACTCTATTCGTGAAATCGCAACTATGACAAGGTACAATTCGAATGGGGTTCTCCTTTTTGACACCTCCAGTTGTTTTACTGAGTCATTGTTTAACTGAGTGACGGTAAAAAACGTGCGACAACTCGTTAAGGAGATTGGGTGTTTGCTTTGAACCAATTTTCTGAAGCTTAAACAAATTTTTTCTAGTACGAGTACACTAAAAGTATTTCTCACAGTCTGAAAATGATTGTGAAGGTGTGGAGTTGAAAACAACTGACAGCTAGAAATCTGTACCTCTTTGTAAAGTTATTGAGAGAGCTTTAGACTATGTAGCTATAATTGACACACTATACTACTATATTAAAATGGCAACCGAATATAGACATTTTTAAATATTGCGTAATACTGACCAGAAAGTCTGAAGTCTCGAATATAATAAAGCATAAGTCGCTAAACAACTCGAATTGCCGCCATGAAATAATTCGTACTAAGCTCTTTAAACATATTGCCACAAATTCGAGCATATATTCATGGATATATTCTAGATTTTACAAGTTCATTAACTTAACTGATAGAAGCAAGTTAATAATTTTGCTATTTCAACCAGCAAAGCTGCAATCCCTGAGGCTTTCATTTGCACTACATAATCGAAAAGTTTCGAAAATCTGCTCGACTCTATTTACATAATATATTATATTATATATTTGTTTATGCGTCAGCGGTCACAATATTTTTATCGGTTGTGTGGGTGAGGGAGTTGAAGTGCCGTGGCAACGGTTGTTAAGTTTTTAGGGATTCGTTTTCCGGTATTTGTTGAGTAATATTTTCATTTGGAAATTTTGTGAGTGTGATAGTGTAACTGGTAAATATGTATGTTTGCTTATGTGTTTGCAATATATTGAAATATTAAAGAAATAGAACTAAAAATAGAGAGAAAAATTTTAAAACAAAAACGTTAAAGTACTTTATTGAAAATATTATTATATTATGCCACATTTAATATAATTTAATTTAGTTTTGTTGTATATTTTTTTTCCTAATTATCAAATTCATTTTTTCATTCAATCTAATTTTTAAATAATATTCCTTTTTTAATAATATATAATTTAATCTATTTTATTTTTATTTAATTAAAATTACTTTAGTTTTGTTGTTTTGTTTTATTTTTATCCAATTTAATTTCTTATTATTATCTCCTTATTTTTCTTAATTTATAATAAACTTATATATATCTAAACTTATTAAATTAATTTAATGTTTTATCTAATATTATTTCATTAAATGTTTTTATTCTTTTTAATTTAGTTTCATTTTATTTTATTTCAACCCGTTTCATTTAACTTCGTTTCCTGTCATTTCGTTTCCTTTCATTTCATTTAATTTTTTTAATTTAATTTAATTTATTTTTTATTTAATTTTTTATTTTATTTTTTTGTATTTTATTTTTTTTTAGTTTATTTTATTTTATTTTATACAATTCATTTCAATTGCGAGAAGACAGAGCGATCTTATCAAGGCACTCTTCAAAGAGGAAATTTGATTTAAGTCCAAGTTTGATCAGAGCTCCCTTTTCCGAGATCAATCAGCATTAGTAATTTAATTCAAAAAACTAAGTTATGCCGTTTTTGGGTTTGTCATTTGTCAGCTGTCATGTAAGAAATTCTGATTTAACGTGAAAAATGTAAAAAGTAAAATGGTGGTACCCGTAAAGATATAATCCGATTAGACGTATCTACTGTCTGAGTAATTGCCTTCCCCACACCCTTCGAGCTGCCTCTGCAACTAAAATTTCTTTTAATCGGTTAAGTTGTCAAATTGTTATGTTAACTAAAAGCATTTTATATGCAAATGGCAACACTAATGCAAGAAAGCAATCAAGTGCTGCATTCAAAAGTCTTGCTCACCAGAGAGTTAACTTGCATTTGTTACACTTCAGTGTTTAACAATACATCAAAAACAACGCTTAGCAATAACATAGCGACGTAGTAGAGTAAATTCTATTATGTTAGTGACAGCGGAATGTCAGTGCTGACGCAAATGTCATACCTCACGCATGAGCACACACCAATACACGCACACATATACGTGTAACAGCGTTTTAGGTGTGAAAACGTTTGCGTATGTGTGTGTTTGTTAGTGGTGCAGTTAAACGGATTTCCGTCAGACGCATGCATGTTGCATACATCTAGGCGCATATGTGGTTGCAGTGGCGCCAATAAATGGGCTCGCCTTGATGTACTGTGATGCGATACCAGAGCACAGGATATTCAATTTCCGGTTTAATAAAATTGCGCCAAGGAGGAACTAATATAAAAAGTTTGTGCTAATATGCATGTGTGTTGGTGAGTATGTGTGTTTGAGTACGAAATTGAATATTGGTGGCCTTCGCGGCGCCGCAACGCTCATGTGTCTGCTTGTAACAAAGAGTGCGCTTTTTAATTCCAATTTTCCATTGCACATGCAACATGACACATTGCACATAACGTTGCAGGCCTTTGATTCACTTAGCGTTGCGCGCATTTTTAATATGATTAGCGTGTTGGCAAGGGATATGCGTGTCCTTGACATAAGTGAATCCCTTTCCAATCATTTTTACCACAACTTTATCTGCAGTAAATGTTTTTGCAACAAAAAATTTGTTATCATAATTTTCTTCGTGTTTCTGCTCAAGTGTTTAGTAATTATCTCAAGATTTTCTGTTCTCGATCTTTATATATCATCCCTTTTAGTAACGTTTTTTCGCTTTTAATGACATTTTCTCTCTCTTTGCTTTCTGCACTTTCTCCATTTGTTTTTAATTTGTTTTTCTGGTCTCACAATTAATGTTTGTTTTCTGTTGTTTTTATTATTTCCACTCACCTATAAAGCAGCGCACATCATAGCTGGTGCCGATCGGTGCGCCATAGTAACGTTTTGCCGGCACTAACTGCACACTAGGGGGCGCTTGTGGGGTTAGGGTGAGTGTGAATGGGTGTGCGCCATCGCCAAGACGCTTCACTAAGGCTTCCTAGAATGGAAAATGAGAAAAAAATGTGATATTTCCTTAAACGTAAATATTAATTATATAATGAAAATAATTAAAATTTAAATTAGGAAAAGTTATTAATTAAATTGCGGCATAAAAAATTATTGTTTTAATTTAAAACGAAACAAAGCTGAATTAATATCAAAATTATCTTTAAAACTATAATTATAATCAAAACTTAAAATGGAATAAGATTAAAATTGAAACTAAAGTTAAAATTATAACTAACATTAATTGCAAAATGCAAATTAAAACAAGTAAGGAAGGGCTAAGTTCGGATGTAACCGAACATTTTATACTCTCGCAAAGTCAAATGGTATACTCGTTTGAGATTTCTTTGTGGAGTGACTGATATTTTCGGTAGAAGGTCAACTATAGGCACTGGGGTCCACATATTCAGTACCTAGGAGCTTGAACAGTTTTGGTTCGATTTAGAGAATTTTTGGTCACAAGGTGGCATACTTTAATTGCATTATTCACGCAAAGTTTTACCCCGATATAATCATTGTTACCTGATTTGCATAGTGGAAAGTGAAAGAATCAGATGGAATTGAAAATGGTGTTACATGGGAAGTAAGCGTGGTTGTAGTCCGATTTCGCCCATTTTCGCACTATGACATAGAAACATGAAAAGAACGTCACGCACCGAATTTGGTTGAAATCGGTTAAGCGGATCTCAAGATATGGGTTTTCACCTAAAAGTGGGCTGTGGCACGCCTACTGACTAATTTTGAACGCGGTTCCTTTAAAGTCATCTTATACCATCTCAGAGATAAAATTTAATGTCTCTGGCGTGTTTAGTGCTTGATTTATCGCGCTTTTAGTAGTTTTTAACAGTACCGTTATATGGGGAGTGGGCGGAGTTGCCACCCGATTTCAACTATTTTCACACTATGGGTAGAGGTTCTAAAAAAATTTGCTTCCAGTGAAGTTTGTTATTATAACATTTGCGGTTTAGGAGAAAGTTACAGTTAAAATTAAGATACAAGTGAAATAAAAATTAATACGAAGTCAAAATTAAATTAAATTTAATTCAAATTAATATTTAATTGAAATAAAAAATTAAAACAAAAACAAAAATTAAAATATAAAGTAAAAATAACTAAAAAAAATTAAAATAGAGTTAAGCTATTTATTTATTTCTAAATAAAAATATAGTTCAAGTTAAGATAAAGTTATAATTAAATTTAAAATTAGTACAAAGTTAAAATTAAATCAAATTATAATATTTTTAGCCCTAGATCTTTTGAGCCTCCTTAAATTGATGTTTGTAATGTAATAATTAAGTTATTTTATATATTTAATTTAACCGTTTTAATATTTGGTAAGGCTCTTCAAAAATTAAAAAAAATCTCAAAAAGTACTTAGTCTGCCTGACTGCTCTATTTACTTGTAGTTAGTAGTTAAAGAAATCGTATTTATTTTGTTAAATTTTCTCCATGTGGCAACTCTTCTGACACATACTTTTATCAATAAGTCTCTCTGGACCTCTATATTGTCATAACCCTTACATATTTAATTTAATATATTTTTTTTTCTTCGCCATTATTACAACGGTGGCAACACTCTTTAATTTCGTTATAGTGGATCGATTTTCAAGTTCATAAGCTATTGTAACTTTAAATCCAATGCTAGTTGTACACTAGTTCATATCATTAAACTTAGTAATCAACCATTTAACTGCATTTACCACAACATGTGAAGACAACAACAAATCCTTTTATTTATTCGAACGCAAATTGAACCGCAAATTAAATGCAAATGACGGCTTTATTTACTGAATGCGAAGGATAAGGAAAATTGAAACAAACAATTTTATGGACGTAAAATATTCACATGACAAAGGGGAAAATAGTCAGTGAATGTGTGCGTGTGTTAAACTCACCTGCAGTGGACTGAGTGACTCACGCGCCAGCTCCTCATTTCTTGGCCAGACCTGATGTAGGGACATAATAGCCTCATTACAAAAGCGCAAACCCATCACTTCCTCATCCTCGCGACCGTAACTTTAAGGTGGAGAAAAAAAGAGATAAAATATGTTGTGATTTGATTTGCAAATGTGGAGCTACTATTAGTATTAGCTCATACTTGAACTTCGTGAGCAAAAAGAGATACCCTTTCGTGTTTCAGGTGCGTTGCGTCAGCATTTAAGGCGACGGCAGAAAACGTAAGAAATTCACACGAATGGAGTGATAGGGAAAGGAAATGTAAGATGACGCCTTGGAATATTAAGAAACGTCACGCCCAGACTTTTGTACGAAACCCTTTAGTTATCCTAAAGCATAATCGAATTTCTCAGCAAAGCCTAGAAAATAGGTGATACACTTTTACAATCTCGCTTTGAAATAAACTGGACGCTTACTGAAGAAATTGTAAAAAGATCCCTTTATAACGGTTGCAGAACACCTAATACGGATGGACGGTAGAAGTTGAGTAAGTTCTGAAAGAAAATACTGAAATTCCACACTTTTTGACGGGGTTTAAAAACCGTTTGACTCATTTTTTGGGCAAATACTATCTCAAGCTCCTTATCACAAAAAACTGAGTATTTCAAGTATCGGAAGCATTCAATATCCTGAAGTGCAATTAGATAAGAATATACTTCTACTCTACTCGAGCATCTCCATTTGCTCGTCAATTAAATGAATTTGCAGATATTGTCAGTCATTAAATTACTGACCCAACGGGGAGAGATGATCTTCTGAAGTCTTATTTCATCAAAGAGTTCGAAAATTTAAGATCTCGTGAATTAAAGAAGTTTATCAAGTTCGAAATAGTCGGCTTTGGAGGAGAAGAAAGAGTTATCGGTCAACCAATTGTTGCAGCAATGGAACTCAATAATTTTTTAAGTACCAGTCAATCACGGGCATCTGAATCTAGTTTCTAACCGAGATATTTGCTTCTGTTAGGGAACCTCTAGAAAGCAACATAATAATTATACTTATATATTATATTATATACTTATATAGAGTTCTTTACGACTTTTCAATACTCACCGAAATGTCAATGTCAATTGTGCATAAACTCTGTAACCCTGAATCGCCTTTGGATCCACATAGATAATACCACGCAATATAGCTGGACTATTGCCGGAGAGTGTGATCTCTCGGGAGGGTAAATATAGTGTGAGCACACAATTTGGTGAAGTCTTCTTATAGACACGTTGTGTGCCAAATTCATCCTTGTGAGCGCATCTGGTGGGGAGGAGAAGGGAAATAAATTCATTCAATGGTGTTAATGTTAGAAACATGTTTTTAAATGTACAATATGGAGATAAAGTATTTAAATGTTTTTTTGAATTATATTGTAATATGAAGAATAGAGAGAGCTTGATAATAAACTAAAGAGCTGTCAACATTTACAACGCAAGGCTCTTCGGCAGTTCTCTAAGTGCTGAGACTTTTTTCGGATAGGCAAGAATTGTCTCTCTCTATTCTCCAATTTGTAGATGGTAGTTTCATCTGAAATGGTTATTGTTCTACAGACTTAAAGCTCTAAGTATTCAAGCCAGACTGTCATTTTGCCAATTTTGCTTCTGCAAATGATGAGTTCAACATTTCTTTCTACGCTCCAAAAAAGGTAAGGACTGCTTTCGGAACCCTTACAACTAGTAACATACTTTTGATTTCAATGTTTCCTGAGCCAGTTACTGCTTATCGCATTTGAGCCCATCCTTTTAGATAATAAGGAAAGATTTATATAGATTACACAAGAAGCTGCTAGTTGGCTAGCCTAAGGACTCCCCACTTCTATCTTTTATTTTTTAATTCGTTTGCTGTGTGCGTTAACAAGAGTACATTTATGTAAGAGTATAGCACAAAGAGAGAGAGAGTCAGTATCTCAGTTTTGCGAAATACCGAATAAGAATTTTATGTAGGAAAGTGAGTAATGAAACATTATGGAAGAAGAGAGTCAAGAAAAGGGACAGAGGCACTAGCGAGTGTAAAAAGTAGTTGCTGCCGGCTATTTCAAAGCCATTGCCGTTGTTGGTGTGTAAACGAGCGCAGCGGCCGAGTGATTGTGCCTTGCTGTTTGCTTGCTCAATTTGACAGCCAGATCGCGCCCGTTCAACTCATTTTCGCTCATTATACACTTAATTATTTATTCAACGCTGCTCATTTGCCATTTATATATTTATTTTAAGCATACATTGGCAATTACATACTTATATACACGCCTACACACAAATAGTACATCATTTATAAATATTTAATTTAAAGTGCTCCAATTGCTGGCGTTTATATATTTATGTATGTTTGTGTGATTGAAGGTTTTCATATTTTTTATGCGACTTTATGTGCATGTGTGTGGCTGTGTGATTTGTGATTAATGAAATTTTAAATGTATTATTAATTGGAGAATCAATTAAAACAAGTGTAAGTACATAAACATGGTTTATAAGTTTCATATGTGTGAGTGGTTACAAGTGCTTGAAAAAATTAATTCCAAATGTAAATTGTGATATTTTAAATAATTTAAAAATAAACAATAAAAATATTTAAATAAAATATGCAATAAAAACTTTGTTATTAAATAACAAAAAGTAAACATTAAAATTAAGAAAAATTAAAGATACTTTTACCATATTTATTTATAATATATTTATAACAACATTAATTATTTTGAAAATTGATTTAAAAAACATTTTATTTACCTAGGTAATTAAATTAACTAAATTTATACGAAAAATATTTTGTATTGAAATTATTTAAAAACATATTTTAAAATAAATATTAAACATTTTATTATTGATTAGTTAACATTAAAATATAGGAATATTAAAGATTATTTTGCAGAATTTATTCGCATTAACTAATATTACTCTTACTATTTTAAAATCTGTTGTATAAAATATATTAATATAAATACATGTCTACATATAATTAGAAAATTTGTAATTTTTTTTATAAGTATAAATAAATAAATACAAATAGGTCTCTCTCTCTCTCTCTGAAAATTAGAAGCGTAAGAACAAAATAATCTATAATATTATTCTATACACAAATTTAATAAAAATCATGACATTATCGTAAAATATTAAAAAGGAATATAGAGGAAATGGTATAAATAAATGATGCAACCGGTCATTTTGACTGGTTCGTAGTTCTGGTTAGAAGATAAGAATAGAATAGAAATTAAATATAGATAAGATAAGAATAGAAATTAAATATTGTAATTTTATTGAAAAATATTCAAAATGTCAATAATATTGAAGCCAAAAATCACAGTAAATTTCTTTCAAAGTTTGCAGAAAAAAAGGATATTTAATTTTCAAAAAAATTTTAAAAAAATTTTTATTTACTTGAATTGGTTTTTATTTGATTGTAGTTGAATTGATTTTGCTTTTTTTATTTAATTTTTCATTTATATATATTTATATTTTTATTTATTTTAGTATAATTTAATTTAATTTAATTTTGTTTTGTTTTACGTTGTGTTATTGTATATTGCTTATTTAAACTATTATTTATTATATTTTATTGTATTTAACTTAATTTATTTACTTTAATTTTTTACTCATTTATTTATTTTAACTTAATTTTTGATTGAAATTTATTTTATTTTGAACTATTTATTATTTAGTTTATTTATTTTTTTAAAACTAAATTAAAATAAACTTTATTTTACTTAACTTATTTTAATAAATTCTTATATTTGTTAACTAAAATTAAAATAAATTAAGTTATAAAGTTATTAGTTTATTTTATTAATCAAATATAATTATTAATTAAAATTAAAATTAAAATCTAATTTACTATAACTTAACTTATTTGACAACAGTTTATTTAGTTAAATATATAAAATATTAATTTTATTTAAATTTAAATTTTTATTTAATTTGGTTTTAGCCTTGATTTTAATTTTAATATTGATTTTATCTTAATTTAAATTATAGTTTTTATTGACTTTTATGCTTTTCTAATTTCAATTAAATTATTTAAATTTAATATTATTTTATTATAGTATAGTTTATTTATTATTATTATTATTTTTTTATTTAATTTAAATTTACCTAATTTAAAAGTATTTCAATCTCAATTATTGTTAATTAATTTTATTTAATTAGTTTTAATTTAATATTATTCTAGTTTGCTGAATTATTTACTTGATTACTATAGTTACTAATTTTATTTTGTTTAATCTTAATTTTTTCCTTTGATTTTTTTATTTCATTTTAGCGAAAAAAATGTCAAAAACCTCCAATTTAATTCAAATATTAATTTCTTGCCTCAGTTTTCAAATTGAGCTTCCATTAAAACCCAGCAGATTGCATTTATTGAAGTTAGAAGCACCAAAATTACTATATAGCTGTTGACAATGAAGCCTTTCAATGCAACTGATTTTCTTAGAATTAACTAAACATCAGCTACATACTATATGAGCCACCTTCAAGAGATGTTTGATTTTACTTCTTCAAATTTGATTTTCGCCTTTATTCATAACTGTATTTATTTTCGAGTGAAAACAGAGAAGTGAGTTGCAATTAAAAATGTTCCCACATAGAAAACAGCCTTAGCTATATTGCCATTGCATTTGCTTGGATTAGGCTATAGCACGAAATATTACTCATACGTCATGTAGGCTGGTAAAACTAGCAACATTCATACGCCATATATCATTCCCTTTGAAATCCTTTTAATTTACGACTTTAATGCATTTCGTAGCAAATTTTGTTTAGTTTGCTCAAAGCCAGCAAAGAATTTTCTTTGTTTATGAGTGTATAGAATGTTAATCAATGTAGCGATACTGATTAAAACACTTATGCCTTCAAAAGCTGCAATAATCCAATTTTCTTTGGATAAACATGGTGAAAACAAAGAAGTGATAAGGTACTACTGAGAATAGAGACGAAAAAAATAGAATTTTCGAAATAGAGAGACAATTAATTTTGTCTTAGATACTATTTGTGATCTTCTTTTATGAATATGGTTTCAAATTAGTTAGCTAGCTGTAGGAATAATTAGTAATAATTCAATAATTATGTGATTACTCTTCTTCTAAATTTCGCTACGAAAACTAAAACTAGTTGAAAAATGAATCAAAGAAGTAGTACAGTAGTATAAGTAGTATTTTTAGGATTTATATTTACCTGCGACTCTTGTTGAAAATATAAATCAGAAGCTTTATATAATCATAGATTTAAGTTTTGTGGAAAGAAATTTTCTCAAGACTGATTCTAAAACTTCGTTATCAAAAGGACTTATGACTGCAAGAGGCGTCTGAAATCTCTTACTATGCCATATTATTATATTTACTGCGAAATTATTTCACGTGGCATATATAATTTCGAATTTTTTCAACTAATTGTGCATAAACAAGAACTTTTTCAGCCATGGTGTAATACATGGTTTATGAGTAACATATAATATTAAATATTACAATTTTTTAGACTAAAAAAAGTTATTTAATACTTTTGGTATTTTATGCCAGCTAATTGCAATCTCTTTTATTAATATTGCCAGCATAGTTTTTTTCAACCACTGCTTATTTGTGACAGTTTATCATTTCATGTAGGCGGTCTGTCTCGCACTTAAACTATTCTGAAATATGACGCTATCTGCTTTTAATTGCCATAGCTTGTCACATAAAAGTAGTAGACAGTATTATTATTCCATAATGAAATATTTTCAGCTGCGTTAGCAATTATTAAAATACTAAACTCTGTTATTATAAACACTACGCAGCATTTGAGTACCAAAATATGTTAGCATGGAAAAGGAAAATTTCAACACACATATTATAAAGGAATTTAAAAAAAATAGCAAAACTCAGCCTTCATTAAATGGTTCCAATCGCTTTTTGGTATAATGTTTAGCTGCTGGATAATCGGAACAGTGCTTACGTAATGTTCGGACTCAAAGTTTTCCATTAGTTTAGAGGTATTTTCAGCAATTGACTGTCCAGAGATCAAAGGTGCACCAGACAACACAATTACCGGAACGGTATCTACTAAAAAAGTTAGGCAGGATATGCTATTACTGTATCAAATGCATAAATACTATTTAAATTTTCAGCCACCTGGCTTGCATTTTCGCCTTTGACGAAGAAAATCTATAAAATATGAAGGTTTTTTCCGTTGCTGGTGTGCTCCTTTGACGCGTGCTCAAAGAGTACTGCGTCAAAAAATCACAAGATTGTCTGAGAAGTTTTTAGTATGAATACTGATCTTTCTAAAGCCATATTTTTCTTTTAT